TGAGTGGCTAGAGTGAGCATTTTCTTTGTCACTTGGAGTGATTTGGTGCAGAAAACAAAGCGAGACAACCACAAAGCTAAGAAAGCTATGTGTTCCACATCAGAGACAACATCAGTTGATTTGTCATGAAAATGATTGATGAAGGTGGTATAAGTGGGTTTCGTGGCTGAAAACCCAATGGTGTCTTCAGACATATCCTCGGGTTGAAGTAATCACCAATTGGTCAAAGGCCAGTGATAACTGCAATATCAAAAAGAGTGGGTGTCACCATTCCACGAGGTAAATGGAAGGTGTAATATGTGTTGTCCCATAAATATAAAGAGGACACCAACTTAAGTGGTCAATAAGCTAACCCAGTCTTCGACAGCATGACTGGGTCATAGATTCCCATATCTTCCCAGATTTGGGATTGAGCTGCTTCCATCTTCGACAGCCACTCAGAATATTCTGAGGTAAATCTAGGGCAATACCTAAATATTCTATTCCCTTTATTCATGAACTGAAGGTTTATTTCCTCCTTCGTCTAGGAATGTTGTTGATTTACAGGTGTTGCATCTTCAGGTTCGTTCCTGGGTTTCTTTGCGCACCCTATGGGTTTTAGTCTAGGGTGAGTTGGGAAGAAAGCGTTATTTTGTTGAGGGTTTTCTAGACACACAAACAACGGACCAGACATGGCATACATTTGTCCAGAATATCTAACATGAATGAGTACCTGTGAGTTGTATGCATCACGTTCTTCTCTGGTCATAGGTTCATGAACGAACCTTCGTTCCCCGGATGAAGCATGAACATAGTTAGTTGGGAAAGCTTCTATTTGTTGTCGTGAATCAGAGCCATCTTTCATCTTTGGATTGTTTGGAGCATTTGAGAGAAAAGCCATGGTTTTTATTGTTAGAAAGTTTATGAAAAAGATGGAGTTTTTAAAGATGGCTTTTTGAATGCAAAGAGACGAGAAATATCAGATGGTTGGAAAAATTCCAAAAGAGATGTTTGTGGCTATTTATAAAGGCCAGGGAAGAGTGTTTTCCCTCAAAATCATTTAATGCTGCAGAGTGAGTGGGACACATGGTGGTCTTTGGATAAATCATCCAGACAAATGAGGAGAACGTTTGCCATGTTTCCTAGGTTATAGGGATAATGGTCATCATGGAAGCATGTAACGAATGACTGATAGTGACATATTAGAAAAAGTGTAATGATGACTCTGATGTCAGCAATAGTTGGTAGAAGATGAGAAGTTCAGTATGAACTTGTGTAACCAAAAGATAGACAGGTGTCGAATAAAAGTATCAAAGAATGGTTGTTTCTCCTTGCGTCGAAATTGACATTCTTGGGAGGCAATTTGTTAGCTCCTAAATTCGACACCCACATAAATTGGCCTTATCGACTAAAAATAGATTGAAAGAAATCTAAGGTTGAAGACACTTCGATGAGAAGAGTTTGTGAAAGAGGTTGTGTCGAAGTCATCCTTGCTAAGAAGGAGAAAACACTTAGAGAATTTTCTAAGTTAAAGATGGTCTTCGACCAAGAGGTTTTTGTGGTATTCGACCGAGAGGTTCCTGTGGTATTTGACTGAAAGGTTCTTGTATCAACAAGCAAGTGAATTTGAATTCGAAGAAAGGAGGGAAAAGCAGTTCACTTGGCAGTTAGGAAAAGCAACGTGGCATGAAGATAGAGATCGAAGAACATGCAGAGGACACTTGTCCTCATCCTGGATCAAAGCAACCGTTAAATGATTATTTACTACCAGTATAAATATAGGAAGTTTGTGTAAAATTGAGTGTGTTTAACTTATTAGTACAAGTCACTCAAATTTATTCAAGTACCCGCTGTGTGAGAATTTTTTTTGAGAATGTACGTTTGAATCACCACATTTTAATTAAAGCCAAGTCTTTACATTTTGTTACAATCTTTGCCATTTACGTTTCTTTGAAAACTTTATCATTACAACCCTTTATCATTACTGCAACTTTACTTTCGCTTGCCTTTTACTTGCACTTTTATCAAATTCATACCTTCATTCTCCCTTTACTCTTAATATCTTCTCAAACCTTTTCATTTAAACTTACAAATAACTTAGCATATGTCCCAGGATCAATCTGATCGATCCTGCAAGTAACCAAAATAACCATTTTTTGGAAGATCATCGGTTGTTTACTAATTTTCACGGTAAACAGTTACATTATGTATGTGAATGGTATATACACGAGTTTTTTTGGGAATAATTCTAATGTGTGATAGGGTTTTGTGTGTGAGAGAATGAACTCTTCTGGAAAGAAAAAAAGGTTGTGTATGGATTGTGAAAATGTGATATTGACGTCTTTTATTTTAAGAAATTAGGTTAGATAAAATAGGAAAATAATTAAGATAAAATGGAACTTAAATGAAAAAATTAATCATCAAAAATATTTGTTTTGATTTTTTTCTAGATGTAGAGAAAATAAAACCAAATATCTTAATGTTGATTGACTTGGACCCAAAGCTAAATGAGAAATTATCTTTTATATTTTTTTAATGATTTTTTCACTAAAAAATGAACAAAAATATTATTATTAAAAATTACTTAAAATAAAAAACGAAAAAATTAAAAAATAAAAATTAAAAAATTCAAGTTTTGGTGATTTTTTATGATTTTGGAAAAAATGGAAAAAAAGTTAGAAACAAGGAAAAATGTCAAGAGTGGAAAAAGTGAAATTCAAACCCGGGACCTCTCGCTCATACCTCCTCAAACTAAAGTCTTTACCAATTTTGCTATCTCATTCATTCAAAATAAAATGAAACAAAAAACCATTTAATGGTAAAAGATCCAGACAAAATTAGGGTATGACAGAGAGGTTTGAGGATTAACTAGGCTAAGCATATCAATGATACCTGGGTTTTTAAGCTTACTTGGGATTTCATGACATCTAAGGAGTATGAGGCGATTGTTTGCAGGTCTTGCTATATGTACAATAGCCTGCCCCATACGTATCACATTAACTCATCAATATGGACAAGGATAAAGCGTCATCTTAAATCACATATTGGAGGGAACTATATGGGTGGTCAGAAAAGGGTATAAAATTAACTAGTGGAATGATAGCTGGTTGGGGGAACCACTCGATGAGATTTCAGAAATACCTCGAGCGAATAGGAAAAGGCTATCCCCAAAGGTAGAACATCTTACTGAGGATCATAGATGGATCATTCCAAACTTTATAAATTTGAATTATCCAGATACAACCGCTCGTATCAATCAGATTCAAATACCTTGAGTAAACCTTCTAGATCATTTAGTTTGGATGCATTTGAGAAATTGTTTGTTAACTTCAAATGGAAGCATACACCTACCTAGAAATCAACCATCATATTCTAGTATTAGTGAAGTTAACTTGGCATAAATTTTTTCCTTCCTCTGCATCCTTCATCATGTGGTGGTTGATCCATAACAAGCTCTCGTTCGACGATAATCTCATGAAAAGGGATGCAGTATGGCTTATATGTGTGGCTTATGTAGAAGCCAAATGGAAACTTCAGTTCATATCTCCTTTGACTGTCCTTTTGCTTCTACAATCTGGAGGGTTATTACTGAGATATTCCAGATCATCACTTTCCTAAAATTTAAAGAGGATATTTTCAGGATGGCCTCGCGAGGAAGACATCCTAAGCTTCAAGATATCGTAAGTTCTGCCCTAATTCACACTGTCCATCAAATTTGGCTAGCTAGAAATAAGCGGAGATTCAACAATGTTAATCATGATGTGCATTTGACAATTGACAAAATTTGGCTGCTATGAAGATTAACTCTTCTCTCTCTAAAGTTTGAATTTCCCACCGCAAGATTGGACATGAAATTTTATATAACCTATAGATTGAGAAAAGGTTTTGTAAAGCTCATAAAGTTATCACAATATTATGGAGAAAGCCCAACTTTTGGTGGATTAAGGTTAACACAAATTGTTCGGTTAGAGGTATTTTAGTACCAGGAGGTAGAATTGTAATGGATCACCGAGAGGAATTTTAAGGCGCCTTTGTGGTCAATGTTGGGGTGCAAAATGTTCTCAAAGAGGAACTTCTTTCCACTATGATAATGATAAAGGTGGCGAATAGATGATGCTAGTTTAATGTTTGGATAAAAACAAACTCCCAAATTACACTGCAATGCATAATGAGGGAGGAACTCATTCATTGGGATCTTCGTAACAAATGGTTTAATTATGGACGTCTTCAGGTTATTAGAGCCTATACCTATATTTACACTGAAGAGAATAGATGTGCGGGCAGTCTTACGAATCACAATCATTAAATTGCAAAATTTTCTGTGGTGAGAGACACTACTTCAGTTCATTACAAGGTTATGTTTCAATGATAAGTTAGATTTGTCAAACTTCAGGTTTGCTTGAACTTAGTTATTGAGGAGTGGTGGTTTCACAATTATGGATGTAAGTAAAACCAAATTTTAAGTCAGAATTTTTTTCTTCCATTTTTTATTTTTTTAGTTTGATTTCTAGGTGAGGTCTAGTCCTCCAGATGTATATATATATATATATATATATATATATATATATATATATATATATATATATATATATATATATATATATATATATATATATATATATATATATATATATATATAATAATAATAATAATAATAATAAACGAATGAAATGATTTAGTTGATTTGTTTGTAACGGTGGATTGTAATAATAATTGTCAAAAGAGTAAGTAAATGCAATGAAAAGAGAATTAATGATAGTGGTTTTAGAGTAAGTGAATCTGTGGATGGTGTAAATATATATATATATATATATATATAAATAATAGAACAAATTATATCCTTGGTTAGCGTCATTTATTGCGACGTTGTTTTTCATTCCAAAAGCTTCATATGCGGCGACGTTGTTTTTCATCCCAAGAGTTTCACCTATTTATTGTAATTGTTCCTATAAACACAAGTCATTAGTACCACCATAGAAAATAGCCATCAAACATCATCCTTCTTTGTTGATTATTGCAACATGCCGATTGGACTCACTCCTCACATAATTGAGATTGATGCTGGAGCCGATCTATTATACACTCTATTTGAATTTGCTCGAAGTCGTGGGAGATCCATTCACATCCTCAATGGAATAGGAATGGTGGCAGATGTCACGCTTATACAATCTAATAGGAGTTTTGTATCTGTTCTAGGAATGTTTGATCTTCTGTCAATTCGTGGTACAATTATCCCGTTGTCGACAGCAGAGTGTTTAGGAGTATTACAAATTACCTTATCAGACTCTGCTGATGACGAAGATGACGTGATTCAAGGGAGTGTGATCTCCCCACTAGTGGCTTATAGTCCGATGCGAGTCACATTTGTCTCCTTTCCAAACCCTGCATTTTAAATCTTTCTTCTCACATCTAGTTACAAGGACCCGTTATTCTAAAACATTTTAATTTTACTTAAATAAATAATTTGGTGGAAAAGGTATTTATATATCAATATATGTATTTTTATTTTATGCTTATTCTTTTTTATTTAATTAATTTATGACTCTCAAATTACATTATATATATATATATATATATATATATATATATATATATATATATATATATATATATATATATATATATATATATATATATATATATATATATATATATATATATATATATATATATATATATATATATATATATATATATATATATATATATATATATATATATATATATAATTAATTATGATCTCTTAAAATCTATCATGTGATATTTAGTTAAGAGTAATGCTACATAGTAAAAATTATTTGAATAAGAAAGTTTAGAAGATAATTTTAAATTTAATTTTTTTTAATAAGAATAATGTGATAGTGATAATAATGAGTGATTGAAATTTAATTCTTATCTTTCTTACTTTCATATTTTCTTACTAACAAGCATTTTCTTTTAATTAATTATAGTGAATTTTTTAATATATAAATTATGTGTGTTTGTTTAAGATGTACAATAAATAAAAAAACATAGAATATGGCAGGTTACACGTTTTAAAGATTTTTGAGGAAACGTCAAAGGAAAATAAGCAGTGGTATTCTGATGCATAAGTCGTGGTTTACCTTAATAAGTCGTGGTTTACCTTAATTATCACCATCTATCATTATCAATTTTAGAAAAAATTTAGGTATAATTTTTTGATTTATATATATATATTTAATGAAAATATAACAAGTGTATAATGTTCTTTTACTTCCTAAAAAATATTTAAGTATATTTATCATATTTTTATTGGAGAAAAATATGAACCACAGTTATGAAATTATATCTAAGTATTCTATATATCTCTATTTTTGAAACAAATTCTCTAACTTAAGCGCGCGAAAGTTAGGCTGTCGTTCAACAATTTTTGACCGTTTGATGAATCAAACCGTTTAGATAACACCACATGTCCACCAATGACTTTTACAAAAAAAAAAAAAACAGATGAACAAAGACGACGATACATGAACCTCATCGCCATTTTCGTATTGTGAGTTTGGCCATCACTGCTTTGCCGTCGCCGACCAACTGTTGTTTCCTTACTTTGTCCACAATGTCACAAACGTTTTTTTCAACTTTGGTTAAGGTATCTCTCACACTAAATGATGGCTTACAAAAATGAGTCGTTCTTTCTAACCAAACATACAATCATCTTTGATTCCAAATGCCTCTGCACCAAAGCCAAAAGCTTGTCCTTAATTTTAAAACTAAAGCGTGTATGAATATGCTCTGATGGATTCTCAAGTTTCCACTCTGTCAATTTGAAAGATGAACAATTACGGTTCCATCAAAGTAGATATACAGGAAATAACAGTTATGGTGTGTACATACGAGCAATGGGGGAAGCGACACAGAAATTTAATGGTGTTGTGATCTAAAGCTCACTTGATAATGACGATATCACGGAGAAAGAAGAAGAAAACATTTTCTTTTGACTGAAAAAATGAAATGTTATTCTGAGTTTAAGTTAAATAAAAAGATATATGGATGGACACGTAGCATAATTTAAAACTTTAGCTTTATCTTGTGACCTATGAGAATTGAAAGTCACTCTACCGTTTACGCCATAAAGATAGACAATCTGATTCCCTCTATTTTATACAAGTAATGTTTTAAAAGTAGAATTGGTCTAGATGTAATTTTAATAGACGCCAATACAATCTTAGCATATTTTAAAATTAAAATAAATAGTTCTTAAAGAAGTTGTTTTTTTTTTTAATCTATATGAAACAATTTAAAATAATTTATATTTTGAGACGGGAGAAAGGGAGTATGTTTTTTCTGTATTTTGGTACAATGTCTAAATACAATGAATGTATCACGATCATATCTAACCGGTGCATAGTGACTATCACTTTCTCATTAAACAAGATATTAATATTTGATTATTATATCATTAAAATATATCTTATTACTATATCATCAACATTTTGTTTACACAAAAAAAGATTTGACTATAACAACAAAAAAAATTATTTTCATTTCCAGAACTCAGAGAAGCTTAATCTAATCCCGTTCAACCTTTGAGGGTAAGCAAGAAAACACGCAACAACCTTGCATCGTTATATTTTCAGCGCTTACACCTCGGAAAATATATGTCAGATATTTGTACCGACATTTTTGTTTAAGTTTAATTTATTCATTTTTAATCACTGTGTGTTTGTGGTGTAGCTTTACAGTTTTCGATCAATCAAAACAAATCCAAATTGATTTTACCCTTTCGCTGTATTTTCAGGTTTCATGGCGGTTCAATCGGAGTTCGATCCTTCACTCGCAATTTCTCACAAGTTCCCTGATGTATCTCTCTCTTTTTCCTTATTCTTATTGAATACGCCTCTCTCTTATCTTGTTTGTAGGTTTTTGTACACCAAGTGTTTGTAGAAACTTCATGCTCACAATAATTGAATTCTGAACTTCTGTTTTTGTTATGCTCTCGTGGAATGGATTGCAGAGTACCTACTCTTATACCGAAAGGTAAGGCCTTCATTAACACAAACTTTCAAATGATAAATAAAAATGGTTATTGAAATGAGTTTCAATGAAAATAAAGTGTCTGAGTAATTGTGTTTCAATTACATGCTCAACAGAGATGCAGCACTTTATGCATTAGGCATAGGGGCATGTGCTTCGGATGCTGTTGATGAGGATGAGCTTAAATATGTTTACCATGAAGACGGTCAGAAGGCTATCAAGGTATTGTTTATTTTCATACTGTTATCATCATTAAAGTGATCACTTTAATACATTTATTCTCTTGTAACATAGAATGCATGTCTAGTTGCTTTAATGGTCAGAAGTTTGCTAGGCTATGTTTGGATATCGTAAACGGAACGGGGCGGAATGGAAATTCCATTGTTTGGACATTTCATGACGGAATAGAGCAACTTTGTCATTCCATCCAAATTGGAGGGTACAAAAAATGATGGAAAGTGATGAAATGTATTCCATCAGGTTCCATTCCATTCCATCATTTTTTAATTAATCCAAACAATGGAACATAAGTTTATACCATTTCATTACATCTCATTCCATTCCATTCCATTCCATTCCATCAATCCTAACATAGTCTTAGGATTTTGCTACTTTTAAGGTATTCTTGATGAATGTGCAATGTAACATAATCTTGTTCAACCTTAATAACATATGACAAGATATTGCTAATAATTCATTTTTGTTTAGGTAGTCGAAATGTAATATAATCATGTTCAACCTTAACTTATGACAAGATATTGCTTATAATTCATTTCTGTTTAGGCGGGATTTTTTTAATATACAATTTTGGCAAAATATCTCTGACTTAGCATCACTTTCTGCTCTTTAGGTCTTGCCTACATTTGCTGCTTTACTTACATTGGAATCATTGCCCAATGGTTTTGATCTCCCGGGCTTGCAGTGAGTGTTGCTCACTATTCTCTATATGTTTGTGCTTATACTTCATGTATTTAATTTATGGATGAACGTGTAATGCTTAAGTTTCATTTTCCATTTTCTGTCATATTGTATTGTTTGATCTTCCTTTTCTAGCTATTCTGATGTTTAATCCAAAGTAGAACTTTATGTATGACAGATATGATCCACGCCTTCTGTTGCACGGACAACAATACATAGAGCTGTACAAACCATTTCCTTCCAGCTGTCATGTAAGGTTTCTCATTAATATTTGGCATACTGGACACTTGAATTGAATTGTTAACTAATGATTTCTTGTTCCAATTTTAGCTCAATATACAAACATTTCAAATGAAATTCATAGGAGAATTAAATTTTTGTGCAATAGAGGCTTCCATTCCATCTTCTAGAAATGAAAAATTCTTTGCATATGGGAAATAGTTGCCTTTTCTTCGCCACATCACATTTCCATTCCAATGGCTTATAATGAGAAATAAAACTATATTTACTTGAGAAGAATGGACTGTCCATATCTGTTTTTAATTAAAATAGTGAGGGTAAAAAGGTCTGATGTAGTCTGATGCAAGTAGCGATAAATATTAGATTTTGTGTAATTAAATTTAGGGAAATGCTAATATGTGCCTTAGGGCACTTGTTGGTGTACTAAAGATAGAAACTTTGTATTAAAATTGTACATTTTATTTCTTAAAAAATAAAAAATTGTTTTTCAAGACATTATTACTATCTGTGGAATTCTTAACACTTGCTCTCAGAGCTCAGGTTAGCACGTCCCTTAATTTAATATCTATCTAATTTGCATCAATTTTTTAGCATGGATTTCTTCAACCCCAAAAAATCTCCCCATTCCACACCCGACCTTTACAATTATGATATTCAGAAATAGTTCTAGTTTTGTCAGCATAATCAGGTTAATAGCTAATCATTTTCTCTTAATCTTCATATATAGGCTCCTAATATATTTTTTATTGTTATAGGTACAAAATAAAGTTAGTCTCGCAGGATTGCATGATAAAGGTTGAATTGCCCAAAACAGTTTTTACTTAATGATCTGTTGTGCATGTGTTTGCTGTACAGTTTCACTTTAACATCTTAAAAATATATATCTCATACGTATCTATTTTTTAATTCCTTTTCTTCTTATCTTCTTATCTATTCTTAACGATGTGATGATGCTTAAATTTCAGGCAAAGCAGCAATTTTGGAGATTGAAACAAAAAGTTATGAGAAAGAATCTGGCGATTTATTATGCATGAACAGGTAACACCGAAAACACTCCTTTTAATGTTTTGTTACACTCACACTCTAATAATAAGTTTCTTGCAGATCAACAGTCTATCTACGCGGTGCTGGTGGCTTCTCGAAGTCATCTAAACCATTTTCCTACTCAAATTACCCTTCAAACCAGATCTCAGCTGTAAAAATTCCTGAAAGTAAACCTTTTTCAGTGTTAGAAGATCGT